AATAATTCTTTTTTTTTAAAGTTTTTTTTTTTATGTTTATTTTTGAGACAGACAGAGAGAGAGAGAGACAGAGCACGAGCAGGGGAGGGGCAGAGAGAGGGGGAGAGAATCCCAAGCAGGCTCCACAGTGTCAGCCCAGAGCCGGACGCGGGGCTCGAACCCACCAACCGCGAGATCACCATCTGAGCCAAAACTAAGAGTTGGACGCTCAACCGACTGAGCCACCCAGGTGCCCCAAAATTATTTAAAAATTCTTAATTGCAAGGTCTGTTACATACAATATGAACATGAAAACACCCTTAAGTGCCCTAACACACACCCACGCACAGATGTGCTCTCACCCACGTTTCCCCGTTAAGCACCGTGTCACAGACACCCTTGCTTGTTAATTAGTTTCATAATGAGCCATGGTTTTATTCACTTGAGCATCGGGCAGACGGCTGTTGACCCGCTGCGTGCTGGGCACTGCCCTGTGACTCCCACTGTCCACCTTTCTCTCGGAATTAAGCTCCCTTCCAGACGCATTCCCAGCGGGTTATATTTGGTGCCTCCAGGGACCGGGCCGTGAAAAGTGGTTACACGTGTCACGTTGCTGAGTTTAGACGACATGAGTCACACCCAGCCCTCTCTGCACACCGGACGTTAATGGGTGCTCTTGGCTGGGCACGAGCCGGGAGAGGGCCAGGCTGAGAGTGGCGGGGGGTGTATCCGCGACCTTGCTGAGCATTGCTACGGCAGGATGATGACGAAGAGAAGGATTTGGGGACAGCGTTGCTGTTTTTAAAGTCTCTACAACGTACCTCCTTATTGTCCGCCACTGGAGGGGATCATTCCTAGCCTTCCCCCGCCATGGAACCAAGGTCCAGACACATCAGGGACCCTGAAGGCCAGACAGTGGCAGACAGTAGACAGGGATCGGGTCTGTCTAGCACCAAAGCCTGGGCTTCTAACCGCGCTGCAGTCCTACCTTGAACCTTGTGACTCCAACCAGCATTGACCCCCACAGGTCCCGGGCCCCGGGACGTCTGGCAAAGTCTGGGGACATTTTTACGATCACCCCTGGAGAGGGCCCTTTCTACTGGCGTCTAGTGGGGGCAGAGGCCACGGATGCTGCGTCTACAGCTCAAGGCTGGCTCGGTCCCCCGCAGAACCGCTGGTCCCCATGCGGCAGTGGCCGGGCCGTCGGGCAGTGCCCTGGGGTGCTCCTGGGAGGCCGAAGGAAGTTTATTTTTTATGACTGGCAACACCGTCCAGATGGAGAATTTCCAGGTCTTGGTGCAATGTTTCCTGCACACAGTAGGTGGTCTCCTGGGTGACGAGAAAGTGACCGTGCACAGGTGCATCTGCCGTCAGGTGGACGGCTCAGGCTCGGCTGGTCTGTCCCCGCATTGGTTCTCGGCCAGCGGCCCCTGAGTGTCAGCCGGTGCTGGGTGCTGAGGACAGAGTGACCCACGGGCTTGGGCTCTGCCCCCAAGCTGGTCGCTGTTGGGTGTGTGTGCTGGGTGGGGGCCAGCCGTGACAGCCCAGGGTGCGAGCTGCTGGGGACGCAGGGTGGGTG